AGATAGTTCATACCAACAGAACAAGCTGTAGCTATCTAACATTCTCAAGTCTGTTGTGATGAACTACAGAGGTGAAAAACGTGCAGAAGTCTCATACCTTAAGGATTGTGGGTGTGGGCAGATCTATGGCATCCATGCCATCTCCCATGTAAGAACATATAAGTGAAAAGGCTGCACGGTCATAAAATGTGTCCTTCCTCGTTATCAAAAAGGAAGTTGTCAAAAAGTCCTGCGTTGATGCTACTAAAATTTCTCCATTTTTTGGGGTGCACAAATTGTTTTGTACCTGAGATACCAACCAAGGGAGAAGTCAATTATTACTCAGAAGGGAAAAATTATCACCCAGATAATTATTAACAGTTAAACAGACTAGGAACCAACAGCTCATATAACAAACACAGCTTAGATGAAACAATTTCCTCGCTTTTACTCTATCATCATTTCTGTCCATTGAGATCGTTCATATACACATTACAAATGAAGTTTTTTCTAACATTTTAAACTCATCATTTCCTCACCTCCAGAATCTAGATCTTTTAAATTGCTTCGGAAAGCCTAAAGGTTCAGTTAAAAATCATTGGTGAAATTTGTTATGCAAGACTCCATCTCATCATCATCTGGTACTTATGTATGTATGTGTGCATTAATATAAGCATATAGAGTGTTAGATGTAGCCAACATCTATAATTCTATATAATTGACTATCCCCAAGAAACTTCATATGATGCTAAGTAAAAGAGAAGGTACCCCCATCAATGTAATAGCCTCTGTCCGAGCCTCCTCTGTTTGTGGTACGTGCATGTTCATCTCATCACCATCAAAATCAGCATTATATGGGTTACAAACCGATTCGTTGAACCTCAATGTTCTCCAAGGCATTATTCTTGCCTATGGGACAACAAATGTAAAATTAGGATTACTATGAGGGCAAGAGAAAATTATGACTAAGCATTATAAACCAGTACTGACCCTGTGACACATGATAGACATCCGATGCAGACTCGGTTGCCTGTTAAAAAGAACAGCATCCCCTTCTTCCAAATGGCGGTCAACTATGCAGCCAATGGTCAGTTCATCAGCAATACGCTTACGATAATCACCAACCAAAGTCCTGAAATGAAATGTGTTAATGCCCCCATAAGATGGACAAACACCCAAGCACATGCAAATGACCCTATGAGGACTATGCAGTCAGTCCTTCAGTGGTATTAGGTATCTACTTCAGTTCAGCCATAGTGTTTACTTATATTCTCGAAACAAATCTCAGTGATTTGATTTGGCTTCATTGAGAGCGGAAAAGTTGTTACTTGCATATTTTCATTGCTACCTATGTAATTTACCTGTTTGTGTGTGTCTATACCATGAACCAAACCTATATACGAGTCAACATAAATTTGCAAGTTCACATAAATTTACTGAAACTGAAGATCATTTTGACTGTGAAAAGCTAGCTATCTAGATATATTAACTCATCAAGATCAGTTTCCTCCCCTTAAATAGTATTCATCAACCAATAAGTAACGAAACTAGCACACAACATTACCTTGAAGAACCATCTGGATATCTGACATTTCTGGCACCAGGGTATTTATTAGGGCCATTACGGACACATTGCCTCAACTTCTCAATATTATGACGGGAAACACATTCAGGAAAAGTTAAGATCCGAGCCATAAGGATGGGAATTCCTACCTGAAAAGTTTAGTTACCTTAGTGATAAGTTACACCAAAAATATAAACACAAAAAGCAACAATTAATCACCACTTAAGATAAGTTACCTCTGTAATTTTCAGATTGGGATCAGGTGAAATAACAGTTCTACCAGTGTACTCGACACGCTTCCCCGACAAGTTTGCACGGAAACGTCCCTGTTTTCCTTTAAGACGCTGAAGAAGTCCACTCAGTGGTGTGTTATCTGGCTGGTTTTGTACACCACGGACTTCACTGTTAATGTATTTTGCAACCTCGCTTTGAACTGTATCCCATACTTGCTAAAAATAAAAAAATCATCAACAAATAAGAAAGAAGAAAAATAACAGAACCAGATATAGTCCTAAAAGAAAACTGGAATAAAAACGTAAACCAAAAAATCATTTTGAAGTAAGATTAAACAAAAACAGAGACTCCTTGTACCATGTTTTTGGGCGATGTGGTAGGTTGACTTAAAATTCTATGAAGACAAGCATTGTTTTGAATGATTAGCTTTAATCGCTCTGTTATGTCGTTTTCATTGCTGCAGCAAGAAAACACATTCTTTCAAGAAAAATCCCAGGAACAGAAAATATAACTGACATGAGAAAGATAAACAAAACGATAGCTAACCTTCGAGTACCACCAATCATAACAGACGGTCGGATGGATAAAGGTGGCACAAGCATGCACATTGTGATAAGATTCTCAGGTCTATGGGCAATATAAAGAAGTTCACAGTCCTATTATCGATTTCCGAAAGAAAAAGGAAAAATAAAAAGAATCAGCATGACTGAATTATTTTTAAATAAGAAAATCCGTTTATACTAATGCATATGTTCTGAGAGAAAAAGAACATACCGCAGGAAACTATGTAGAAAAAATCGTGTATTATATATAAAAACTCAAAATATACCTTGTCACTCATTCCTTTAAAAAGCCCGAGCACCAAGTTAGGATCAAGAACATAGGTAAGAGGATTTATTGCTCTAGTAGACTCCTTTGTGTGGGATATTGCAGATTTACATTCATCAACCTCTCCACCATGGATTTTAGATCGGTCATGACTGATGCCTATACCCATCTGCGCTGCAATCTTTTTTACCATGCCTGAAATTATCAATAGATTAACCATTACCAAGATATCAAATTGAATTGGGTAGGAAGAAGCAGTATCAAGAACATAGCATAAATAAGAATAGAGCACAAGTTCAGATTAACCAATAACAGAGGTTAAAGGATTTTGGCAATAGATATTACAATTCCAAAAAATCCCCAATTTTCTGCTTGTGCTACTTAAGAAACATATTAGAATGTTCTAAGAGCTAAATTTTGCATCTAAGATGAAACGCATGAAGAATGAGAAAAGAAATCAAGGTTATAAATTATTAACTTCAAAAAAGCGTCATCGAATCTAAATTGTTTCAGCCAAAAAACAGTTCAAAATTATACCATTCAGGTAGCCACATTTTTTGCACGTTATAATTCTCTGACTTGCCATCGTACTGCACTTCTTGACAACCGCTTTCGCCAATTCAGTCTTCTTCAATGGCTCCATTTTGGGATTCCGCATCTTCCTTAAGTGATCTTCATACAATTTCTCATCTAAAAGCATGTTGGAACAGCGCTGTGGGAAAAAGAAAACAATATTTGTGAACTACTGTTGATGCTACAGAGACAAGATTATAACCAGCCAGTTTTTTTTAATGCAAAATAGGCATTGTCTGGATCTTGAAAGGCATCTTCTCAAGAACTAATTTTCTATGCTACATTTTTCTCTACTTTCTCCATTCAACAAAAGTAAAAGGGTCGACTAACATAAAATAGAACAGAAACTAGAGAGACATAATCTGCTAACTCTGTTACCTTACAAATGCACTTCAAAATATCAAGGATAAAATTGAAGAATCCAACGTTGTAAACTGGGAGGTCAAGCTTCAGATATCCATAGTGTCCCGGACAATTTTGGAAGTTTCCATCACAGGTTGCGCATATAGACTTTTTGTTTGGAGGACCCTGCAAAATCGTAATGAACAAACCATTTAGTAAAAATAATCTTCTTAAAATGACAAAAATATCTTGGAATAGAGAATGTTTAGAATCATATGTACTGATGCAAATAACTGCAGGAGGCAAAAACATAACATAAAATACTTGCCATGGTTATAGGCATAAGAAGTTAAACCAAGAGATAATAGGTATATCTATAAGAAAATCGGATACCATTCGAGCATCCAACAAGCCGTTTTCATGGGGTTTTAAATTGTTGTCGTAGTAATTATTCTTCCAGACTTGAACTTCAGCGGCTTTCATGATCTCAAGATCAGAAAGAACAGAGAAGTTTATGCTTTTTCTGCAGAGATAATAATAATGTCAAAAATCCCACCAAGAAAAACAACAAAAACTGACAAACAAGTTTTGTTCCACAATATCAAAATCTCAAAACTAATATTCATTTTATCAAATTAAGATCATCATAAAAGAAATCTACAGACAGATATAAACAAAGAATCTTCAAAGCTTTTAGCAGAGAATATATCATCTAGTTGACATAAGAATTCAGACACCCAAAAATCCAAATTTCAGAGCTTGGAACAAATATATAAACTAGCAAAAAGAAACGAACTTTATGCACAATGAGTATGATGCAACTGCTAAAAGGAGCGTACTTGGGAAAAATTATATCAATAGAGTGGTTGGTTTAACTTGAGCAGAAAAACTGAAAGAACAACATACATTTTAAGAGGACCAACATCTTCGATGTAGGGTTGTTTAGTGAATTCAATTTCCATCTTCGTCTCCATCTCCTCCAATCAAAAGCTGCAAACTTTTTAACCCAGAAGGAAAAAAAAACCCCGACTAAGTTTCGAATCGGAGTAAGAGAAGAAAAAAAACAAAGTAAACTCGAGACCGATCGAAGAATCAACTTACAGTGAGAAAGACGAGGGTGAAGGAAGGTGGGTTTAGGGTTTAAGAAGAAGCAGCAGAGCTAAGTAACAGGCGGGAGATAGGCTGGGGAACGGAAGAAAGTGGATGATCCAAGCAGAGCAAAAACAAACCCAAAAAAAAAAACAAAAACCCTAGATGTGGAGATCGAACTCTAGACCTTGAACTGCTAGACCTAGAACCCTTTACCACGGAGCTATTTATTCTAAACATTAATTAGGTCGCGAGTTTTTGTATATAACTATTAGTTCTCGAGCTTTCCTTTTTTTAATTAGAAAAAAAGGAAAACAAACAAGGGGGTACTTTCGTAAATTTGATTTTCTTCTTATTTCGAAAGTGTCAGGCTTTAGGGGAAATTGCCCTAATTTGTGCAGTGAGAGAGGCGCGACGATCTTCGAGCTTCTTCCGATGAAGACAGTCACCGGAAGAGTTATTAGTGCTGAACCAATCTCCCTTTCCAAGGCGGCTACGCTTCTCTCTGGATTCGCTTCCTCTGATAATGGCGCCTCTCAAGACGTTAGTGCGTACCTCCGACGAGCCTCCGCCGCCTTTACTGAATTGAAGAGTTTCCACAGGGAGATTAAATCAAAGGATGCGAAGCCAAGCTCCGTCAGGGAGGTTATATCAAAGGAGACGAAGCCAAGCTCCGACGCAAGGCGTGAGCGGGATGTCACCGGCGAATTAGACGGAGAGAAGATTCGTTACCGGAAAAGTGGAGCTGTGAGTGAGGAATCAGTTTATGGTAGGGATCAGGATGAGATGAAAAAGAAGAAGAGCAAGAGCAAGAATAACAAAGACGAAGATGTTGTTGGTGAGGAGGTGAAGGAGAAGCTGGAAGATGAGCAAAGGAGAGAAGAGAGAAAAGAGAGAAAGAAGGAGAAGAAGAAGAACAAAGAAGAAGATGTTGTTGATGAGAAGGTGAAGGAGAAGTTGGAAGACAATCAAAGGAGCGAAGAGAGAAAGGAGAGAAAGAAGGAGAAGAGCAAGAAGAACAAAGATGAAGATGTTGTTGATGAGAACGTGAAGGAGAAGCTGGAAGACGAGCAAAGGAGCGCAGAGAGAAAGAAGGAGAAGAAGAGCAAGAGGAACAAAGACAAAGAGAAAGTGGTTGTTGATGAGAAGGTGAAGGAGAAGTTGGAAGACGAGCAAAGGAGTGAAGAGAGAAAGAAGGAGAAGAAGAAGAGGAAGAGTGATGAAGAGATCGTTTCAGAGGAGAGGAAGAGCAAGAAAAAGAGAAAGAGTGATGAAGAGATAGGTTCAGAGGAGAGGAAGAGCAAGAAAAAGAGGAAATTGAAGGAGATTGATGATTGAAGTTGGTTAATTTGGGGTTTTAGCTGAAGGTTTGAGAAAATTTTGTAGTTGAAACTAAGAAATATTTCAAATTTTTGGGTATGTGTAGTTGAAGATGTTACTTGGTGACAATTAAGATTAAGAAAGATTTGAAATTTGGAACTCTCTTGTTATAGTTTTATGTTACCTTCATTGAAGTTTTTGTTGCTTTGGTAGTGTGATGCTTCACTTTTTTATCCTTTACTATAGTTGGAAGATTCTTGAATGCAAAGTATTGAAGATGCTATATTCGCAGCATTCACTCTAATCGACTTACTCAAGTTGTGGAATAAACTAGAAAATGTTTTATGTAGCCTAAATTTTTGTTTAGGCACTTGAAAGTCTGGTGCTTGAACGTATAGGACGTTTCCTGTATCAAGGAAGAAGGATTTCCACGTCCTGTTCAACTCAACCTATGCGAGTACAGATGATCCTCGATCGTCTGGTATGTAAATCTTACATGCGATTTTGTCTGTTACAAATCGTTGGTTCCTTGGTCTATTTCATGAACTAACAGAAACATTTTGATTTCACAGACATTCTCCCATGTGAAGTTTTCGAGAACGCCAAACAAAAAGTGAAAAACCATTGATCAGGACAATATAGGACTTAAATTAGGATATCAACAGTTAGGTAAAGATGTTGGTGGAGTTAGAGGTTTTGTGGAATACTGATCAGTCTTATTTCCATCCAACTAAGCGAAGCCATTTTCAAACCCGACCTGTTGTGTATCTCCAAGTGGCAGAGCATGATTCGTTAGTTGCTTATGATCCAGCTTCATACTTATTGTAAGTTCACCATACTCTGAGCTTACTATATAGTCTTGTAAATCCTGATGCAGGGTGAGGAAGACTAAGGAGTACACAGCATGGAGAATCTTAAACTCTGTGGAAACCGGCATCTTCATGAATTTTTGAAAGTCATGTCGTTAACTGGTGTACATCCTGGTTTGGCAGGTGCTTTACTGAAACTTGCGCCTACTTTCTCTTTCAGATTTGATCCCTAGGGAATATATAAAGAAGACACGGGTAGGTTTTTGTTTGAGACATGGCCAGAGATAGTATTATTAGTTTATGAAAATCAAAGGAAGTGTTAGAGAAGCTCAGTGATTTTGGTCCTTCGTGTTATTGACCAGTTGTTGGACCCTGAACAGCTGATAAATGGTGTCCAGGATAATCCAATTTCTTACTAAGACATTTGATCCAAATATTACTTCAGATTAAGGTTCTTGAGGGTTTCAAGCAGATTTTGTGCTATTCTTAAGATCTTTGAGATAGATATTTAAACCAGGAAAGTTGGGATAATTGTACAGAACCGTTTTGGATGTAGAGCCATAATTTCCTGCACCGTCTATATGTGAATGATTGAGTTTTGTGAAACCTAAAAACACTCAATTTTCATCATAAATATGTACAGATTTATACAATGTGTAGATGTCATATGTGGGTGTTGTATCATTGTTTACATGGACCATCTGATTCAAACGATTTGTGTATATCTTCAACAGTTAGTTGCTACTGAGATTGTATATATAACTATAGAAGGTAAGGTCAATATATGCAAATTAGATTGTGTGTATATATATTAGTTTTGGGTTTACATAGATCTACACTTGCAGAAAACAGAGCTGTGCAACAGTAAATAATTGTAAAGAAATTGACCTCATGTCAAATTATTAAACAGGTATTGACCTCATGTCCACCGATAAATGGCCGGGGAAAAAACGAAAAAAATGCGGCGAATCTTGTAAGAAAGAAGAGACAAGAAACAAAAAGAAAAAGGACTTGAATCATGGGGAATGAATTCTCAGCATTTGGGCAAGTCTGCAGGAGGAGGAAGAAGTTTCTGATCAGGTTTATCTCCATCAAGAACAAGCCAAGCCATCCTCAGACCCCAACTGGTATGTACTTCCAAGTGACAGTGCATGAACCACACTCCTGTGAAACATTTTGTAAAATTGGTTATCATACTCATATTAGATGACACTAATATAAAGCTGTATTTCGTTGGTTTATTACTGTTTTTCTTACCTGGGTTATCTGCAAGGAATCGAATAGCAGCCCATCCACCAGATGGCACACCGACTGTGTTCCTCTCTATTGGGTCAACAAGGTTGAAGTTTTTAGGATCCTTGTTCGGGTCGAAATTCCCAAAGCCTTGGCCAACCACAAAGAAGTTGAACCCATGAAGATGAAGAGGATGGCTTTCTGCACCAAGAATGCTAGTGTCTTGCATCACCAGCTCCACACTGGTGTTATAAGGTAGAACCATCAAGTTTGTCCCGTTGCTAACCATGGTATTGTTAGGTGGAGTGCCTGTGTAGTTAAACGGGACAATGGGACTCCATGGAAATTTTGGGGAATAAACTCCATGAGATTGCCCAGAATAGTGAGATTGAAGGAGAGCTTTTGTTGGCATTATGAAGGAAATGTTACTGATTGAGGCAGCAAACATTGTGGTGTTAGTAGGACCCTGGCATGTCTGGTTATTCTTATGATTGCACGGGTTTGTTCCCAATCCTACTGTGAAGAAGAACTTTCGATCAACATTCAGAGGCACGTTTGCTGGAAAATTTTTGCTGTTCAGACTGCGTAGCTTATTGCTGAAACTTGGTAGCAAAATTTGTATCGTTTAGAGCAGGGAGTATCGGTTTGAAGAGTTGAAGATTCTTGATAGAGGTCCTTGAGTGAGCATCTTTGGTCTGTTTAGGTGGTTCATATTCTAAGATTCCAGCAACTGTAGAGTTATCAAAAGTTCCTTGACCTGTGACGTATGGTCTAGCAGTCATGAAGAAGGAGGCACTCGGGTAACTAGATTTAGTCTTCAGCAGGACGTTTGTGGTCTGGCCAGGAGCAATTAAGATGGTATCCGTCTCAAATGGCTTAACATAGATCGCATCAGCTTCAACAACTGTAACCGTGTGATTTGCGATGCTGAAAAAGAGCTCGTCATTAAGTGCAGCATTGATTAGCCTGAGAAGGTATGTTTTTCCTGGCTTCACTCTCAGTCTGAATGTATCTGTTTCACATCGTTGGTTATCTAGATAAGTGGATCATTTATTATCAAACCATAATTAGATTTAGATGTAGGAATTAACAATCACCTTTCGCGGAGCAGTTGTATAATGGACCAGGAAGCCCGTTGATAGTGTAAGCATCAGAGACATTAGGACCACCTCCTGTTTGGGTTGCTTGGCGAATGATTGCCTCAGGGTCTGCGTTGAACCACTCCCCTGAAATTTAACCATAAAAGTCAGTAATTATGTTTCTAAACTGTCATCAGATTCTCAGTCTGTTTCTATTCCTCATCATCCTTACCAAAGATCATGGGAACTTCTTTATGAGGTTTAGCAAACGGGTAAGGAACACCGCGTTTGGGAAGGATGATAAGCGGACCATAGACTGTTGATCTTAGCCATGAAATGTGAGCATGGTACCACAGAGTGCCTCGTTGACCAACAATGGTATAGTTGTAAACATAGCTTTGTCCTGTCTGAATAGGACATTGGGTTATATAGGCTGGTCCATCAGCCCAACCACTCCGTAATTGCCGGATCCCATGCCTGAGATTTTCATGGATTAAAACCAGCTGTCAGTAATCAAACATTGCTCTTAATTATGCTACAAGTAATTTTAAGATTGTTTACCAGTGGATAGAAATGTTGTTTGACACTTGATTAACGACTTTGATCAGAACCTGGTCACCTTCTCTAGCAATAAGCTTAGGACCTGGAAACTGCCCGTTTACAGAAACAAGGCTCTTTGTGTGGCAAAGACGTGTAACGTTCTGCATTTTGATCTACAAAAACGAAACATTCAGTCAATAATTGCATCCCTTTTTAAGAAATTACACAGAAGAAACAATCTTCACATACTTCCAGCGTATAATGCCTTGTAATCCCAAATGCAGGTTGAGGTAGAAGAAGAACACAACAGAATACAGCTAAGAGAAGCTGAAACGCCATTTAAGTGAGGTTGGACACCGAGGCGTTGGAGCAGGGTAGTTTACTGAATACTCTGCCTCGGTTTATGTTTTGCTGTAGATTGTGGATTCATTGTTTCTACCTTTAGTGTATATATAGAAAAGGAGAGTTAGGTGTTTGCTTGAGCAGGAGATATAGAAAAAACAATTAGTAAATGTTTATGAGAAAAACAAAAAGATAATTGGTAGAGAAGTACTCCTTGTAATTGGAGACACTTGATATTGACTAGTTGTTAGATTATATGAACAGCTAATGTATGAGTGGTGTCAAAGATAAGTCAAACTCTTTGACCCTCTTCAATCCCTCAAAAACTCTTTGTTTCCTTCTCAGTACTATGGCGTAGATTCTAAATATGAATTGCAAGATTGCCAATTTTAGTTTCTCAGATATGACAGTTCCTCTTCCATGTTCTGCTTTTTTGACACCTTTGAGTATATAAGACTTCAAATTTTAACATGAGAAAGTAAGGGACGTAGACCAAATGTGGCAGTTTAATAATATCGTCTGCTTTGGTCCTTGGCTAAGTTTTGTTTAGACCCAACAAAAACAACTCTTGGAAACTCTTTGATCGACCAAAAGAGTCTGAAGCAGAACGCTTGGAAACTTTTAGAAGGGTTAACTTTTGTGATTAGCGATTATGTTTTAGTAAAATACATTTCATAAGAATGTTATAAGTGATAAGTACTTCATCTGTTTGTTAATTATTTTGTTTACTTTTTTTTTTTTTTGTAGGTGAGGAACTTCTAAAGGAGATTAACCGATGTGGAGTTAGTCAAAACATTCGTAAGCTAAAATTGCTTGGGGAATAAGCAAAGAGAGGGAGATTGTAGCTATCAAAGAAGGTCACGATTAGGGTTAGATATCAAAATCCATGAAGGGATTTTCCGATATTTTTTTTAATAAGAACATTGAGGAAACCTCAAATTAAGGTTGGCTATTTTATTTCCCAAGCAAGTTACCTAACTCCCTTTTAAGTTCGTATCCTCAAAGGCATGCCACTTATACATGCTTCTCGATATATATACACATATTTTACACATCATTATACTATGTTCTTATTTGTTAAACTGTTTTTTATGTGCGACAAAATATCCTTAAAACACATTATTTTCTTGTTATGTTTATTAATTAATGCGTGTATAGTTATGTACATTTGCAAATTGTTTGCTTGTTAGTCCTCTTTCATATTAATAATTTTGAGAAATGTAAAGTCAATTTACAATCAAAATATGATCTAGACAGGGTTGCTAACAAGTACGTATCAACTTATCCCCTGAATATGCAAGTCGGTAATTAAATATATAGTGTTTCTAGAGAAAAGACAATAAAGAGATGTGGAATTGAATTATGGTGGAATGAATATATATCGGACATAATGATGAAACCCGAGTTCACATCATTAGTATGTAGTTCAACCATTTGTAGTTTTACAATTATGTCTTTAACAATATTTTTGTTGGTAACTCACGATCAATAACAGTAATATAGTTATAGGTATATATTTTAAGTTTTAGCTAGCATGTGACACGAAAGCTATATTTTAACCAGGTTAATCCCGGGTAAATTACCTCCCATATTATTTGAAAACGAAATTCTGATATCTCTTAACGGTTTCGACTATAATTATCGAATTACATTAAACTAAAAACATATATGACCTTTTAGGTATTTTTAGACCTCAGACCAATTTCAACGAACTCTAGTTTAGACACTATCTAAATACCTTAAACTTACCATTCAAATATCGATCTAATTAAGTTAAGTAAAAGCAAAAAAAAGTTGAACCCTATAATTAAATCTTAATTTACAGGCACCATATGAATTCTGCAATTATTATGTGACTACGTTAAATGAAATTGTGATCTAGGAAAATGAAATTATTGGACTTAAACCCAAACTTAATTAGATATGCTAAAAACACATATTAGAATGACACTATCAATTAGTACGTAAAAGTGTATTCTTTATACATACGCGTAAGATATACACATGATTGGTATGTGAAGAGAGTTTGATTAGATTGGAGGAAGTGTTAATACATGTTTTTCTTATTTAATTTTATCACATATATATTGTAGCTACACCAACCCTTGATTTCTGATTAAGGCTCCAACAATATATAGTATAATGTATGCACGTATGTATACATATAAAGAACGTATCCTATACGAATATATATGCACATTAGTACGGACAGTTACTAGCCACCTTTTAGGTGAATATATAAAGATGGTGATAATTACAAAAGTTATAGGAAACTTTTGAGTTCGACGTAAAAAACATATGCATGTGTGATGTATCCATATGATAATTTTAATTAAAAATAAAGTGTTAGCCACGCGATCATTAGATATCTTAAGAGTTAAGAGTGAAAAGTGTTAAATTCAAAAAAAAAAAAAAAGAGTGAAAAGTGTTGTATATATATATCCACCAATATTTAGGAGGAACCAAAAAATCTTACTGCGCAGTTAGAACTAATTAGCCATAGCCCGTATGTATATATATAATCAACTTTCTTTTTATTAATCTTTGAATAGAATATTAGAATATTAGAATAGATCAATGATGATTAATTAAGATGCTTTACCTTAAGTGCCAAAGATTAGCCAATCTTCAATAACGTCAAAAAGAAAAAGCAGAGTATAAGTACACCCAAAGAAATATTTCTTACGCAATTTTCTTAATAAGATTAATGTATGATCCCCTTAGGATTAAACCAATATTGACTTCAAATATGTCTTTATCACTATGGTTTTACTTGCTCGTTAAACCCTCTCTAGAAATTAATAAGAATGTAATCAGATTAGTTCTAAGCATTTAACCCCCAAAAAAAAAAAAACATTTCTAAGCAACACATAATAAATTTTTTAAGTAATGCAAAGAAACTAAATTTTCATTTTTCTAAATTAATAATTCTTCGTAAAATCGTATAGAGAATCCTCGTTAAGAAATATCATAAATGTGGAAATTTCCATGATTTAGCCAGGGGTACCAAACTAACTATTGCTTAGCGCGCAAGGTGGACTCTTCTGTACACTTCGTTCTCATACTACCTACTCTACTCCACTTTCGTTGCTCTTTTTTGGCTAAAACTCCACTTTCATTTTTTTTTACGAATGTCAACTATAGTATCAAATTCAGAATTATGCTTCAGAGGACTTGCCACAAGTTTCATTGAAATTTGGTTCTAAACTTGAGAAAACTACAAGTCAAAAACCCAAAAAAAAAAACTACATATATTTTTATAAAGATCTACTCCCTCCGTATTTTAATAATTGTCGTTTTATAATTTTTATTTTTTTGAATTAGATGTCGTTTTCAAATTTCAATACAAAATTTCTTACTTTTTAATGTTTTATGATGTCATAAAACATTAAAAAGTAATAAATTTTGCATAGAAATTTGAAAACGACATCCAATTCAAAAAAATAAAATTTCTAAAACGACAATTATTAAAATACGGAGGGAGTATTATATAGTCGTGAAACTTCATTTTCCAATTATCATCCATACACTTGTCTGATTTAGGAGAAAAAACCTCAAAATCTAAAAATGGTAGAATTTAGAAAAATGTTTGTGCATTTGAGAGAGTTTTCTCAATTTCAAGCATTTTGACAAATACAAAATAACAATCACAAGTTCACAACACTAAATAGCTATAAAAAATTGATCTTAAAAATTGAAGCAAAGATACTGATCACAACAAAATGGATCAATATGAAAAATTCTTAATCAAAATGTTACTATACATTTTTATACGGCGTTAATTACTTTACAGTATGTCACCAACTAATTACATCCTGCATATATACTCTCTTACTCCCAATCTGATTGATGAGCATATATCAAAATCTGTTTCTTTAGTTAATTAATATAAGAATTATGATTAATTTTGGTTAAAAATTCTCCTTGTGGAAAGTAAAACGAGTGGATGACTCGAGACTAAACTCCTGACAAAGTTCTTTAAGTGGTCGAACCAGTGTTGGACTTCCGCAGTAGAATACACCTGAAAATACACAAGGTAAGAATTATTGTAGTTAGAAACAAAACAATGAACTAATTAAAGATCGTTTACAGAGAATGAAAGATTGACAATAACTATTTAATATATAGTTACCTATTCGACAAGCTTCGTGTTTGCTTGATAATTCAGAAAAAACCTTCCTCCAATTAGGTCTTGCGAAATGTGTTCGTATCTGATTTGTTTTTATAGGATACTTAAGATTAATTAATTATATAATTAAAATACTTGTAACTCCTTCAGGAGTGCTAAGAAAATTAAGAATTAAGATCCTTGTAACTCCTTAGGAGTGCTTAACGTTAACTCCAAAATGATTCTATATGTTCTTAATTAAGAACTCATATAATGGTTTTGGTAATTAACTAAAACTTACCCGGCTTTCGGAGACAATATCAACACCGTTCTTGGCATGTTGAAGTTTCTGAACCATGGCGATAAGGGCAGATCTTGCATCTCCCGCTTCGTACATGCTTGTTAAGTAGTTATGCATTTCTATCACATGCTGCCAAAATAAAAACATTATTTGGGAAACTTGTTAAACGTATTATTTTGTCATTATGGAAAAACAAGAATTTAGTAAAATGAATTAAAAAACTTACGGTTTTATCATACTCGGCGATGTCATCCATAACTCCCTTGAACCAATCAAATGAAGCTTGTTCTCTTGTCACCCAAAAAAAATATGCTCTTTGCGGAAACTTCTTGCCTCCTCCACCACTAACACTATCACCTCCTATACTCTCTCCTCCTACACTTCCTTCGTACTTTTGCCCCTATATATATTTCCCAATATTCAAAAAATGTAGACCCTCATTATTATTCTTTTCCTTCGTATTCGACCTCAAATATGTAGACAAAAATGTTCATACTACTTACACTTCTGGGAATCCCGGGTTTTAGATGGTTTAACATGTCTTTCAAAATGCTTATGAATGGAGTTGCCCCTATTCCTAGTCCAACTAGTAAGAGGATGTCAAACTTCTGATAATTTTGTGCCGGAGCTCCATACGGTCCTTTGATGAATATTTTTGGGAATCTGGTACAAAAA